TAAAAAGTCTCGTCCCGAATCGAGAAATCTTTTTCCCCCCTTCGTTATGGAATCAAAAGGATGCGGCATCATCGGGTTGGGCCAGAACAACAAATGCTGTAGATGGCTGGCATTATGGCATACAGTCATGCCTCAGTGGATCGCATTCCAGAATATGGAGAGCAAAAAGACTTAATTTCCCAAAACTTAATTTCTATAACGCCTTGACGAGTGGGCACCAATTTACAAAAAAAAAAAAACCGGGTGCTCAACGAAAAAGTGCAGAATATTATGCATGTTTACGAAACAAAAAAAGATATGCATTTTTTTCGCGCTATGGCGAACTTGAGTTAAATATTTGCTCTTTTGATCTTTGTATATATTTTCAATTTGAAACTTTGTTTGTCAACTTTTTTGAGAAATGACCCTTCCAAAAAACGCATCGACTTGACTATCATTTGAAAATTGCTGTCTCTAGCAATTTAATCCCGAAACAATCGCTCCTTCGGAAGGGACGCTATGTTGGGACTAGGGGCTGGCAAACCTTTTAGACATTGGGTTGTATGCCGGCAATTCAAAAAAAAAGTTGACAAAGTTTAGATGGTTCTAAAAAATAGATAAATTTTACTTAAAATGGTCCGCTTAGATCAATTTTAGGGTCACAACCAATTCTCATTCCATATTTCATTTAAACTCAGCCAATTAACCTTTCATTGACAAGAATTGTTTCAAGGTCAAGTGCAGTTTAGGAAACATCTAATCAGTTTTGATAACTAATTTGAATCATGTCGCTCAGATTCGTTTTCAAGTTCATATCAAAGTCTAGACTATCGGCAAGGTCAGTTCTGTTCAAATCGAAAACGCTTTCAGCAGCGTGCATGTTAATTCGTTTTGGTTCGCAAAAATTGTCGCAATTAAAGCTTTTATGTTTACCGACGATATGGTTCCGAATCCCTTTCAAATAAGTTTCACTTTGATTCTAACAATTGATATTAAAAATTGGTTAAATTGTAGTGGGGTTATCTATTTTCGGGGTTATATGAGAGGGGTTAAGAAAAAGGGGTTTTAAAAACACAGGGTGATAAACTTGGGAACCGATAAATCAATTAAAAGCAGCAAAAAACAGAGGAGTTTTTTGAGGTACACCTTTCCATCCCATGTGCTGATGTTATGATCTAGTTTTATAAACTCTTAGGTTTAATTGGTTTCAGAATTCCTGTCTGATTTTCAGTGCCAACCACTTCATTGGACTGGTTAGTTGTAACCTTTTAGCTGGTGTTTTAATTTAAGCTAATTCACTTATTTTAACAATTATTCTGTTTCTGTTTGAAGTGTGTTAGCATTACACTATAGATTCTAATATCAGTTGCGAACTAAAAGCTTTTTGATCATTTCGATTCGCTGATGTAGCGTAGCTCCAAAAATCAAAAAATAGCTCCTATGTAATATAACAAGAAAATTGTAACACAGTTCAAAAAAAGACAAGACATTTTATAACAGTTTCAAAATAGTTCTGGCAAATAAATTTTTTAAATCTACTCTCACTACTATTGAGGCAAGGCCGTTTGTTCTGAGGCAGGGCTATAAAAACTGTTAGGGTTATGATTCCATTCAAATCAACGTTATTGTTTCATTTTGTTTTTTATTCAACTTTTCCTCAACTACTCGCTGAAAAAAACTGGTCAACCCTAAGTCGATTTGATTTATTTTGCGACTTTAAGGAAAGCTGTTCTATTTTGGGAGCTCTAAAAGCTCGTTGTTCAAAACTTGTCCACAACCTAGAGTTTTAGTGTTTAGTTTACTTAATATAACATAGAAGTCTAACAAAATAAAAAAAACTTTGCTGCCAACAACACAAAAGCAATGACAATGCCGATTTATAACAGAAGCAAAAATAAAAAGAAATTTTAATTGATCAGATAAAAATACTTGATGGATTTTATTCAAAAAATCTACAGAATCAACACCCAATTTTTTTGGCAGAAACAACAAACAGAAGTCTATTATTCAATGATAATGGATTGAAACTGTATTGTAACTTCAATTCATGTTAAATCAATAAAATCATTCTGAATCGATTAATATTAATTTTAAGGGATTATATTCTTTTTCGTAAATTTTCCATAAGTTTGAGGTATAAACACAGTGCACTTTATTCAAAACTTTACAGTGGCTTTGGCCTTGATATACGTAACATCACATGAAACTGGGTTTACTTTGGCTTAGAAAATAGTTTTTCTATTTTAACTTTTTTGATTTACGCTTTTAAACCATTCGGTTCACCAAGTTTACACCCTCCGTATCATGCCTCAAACTTACACCCCCAATACGCCTCAAATACACCCCCCGTGCGTTTACTCCCCTCACTTGTAAGATTGGACATAAGGGTTGGGTAGGAAAAATCGTAGGGGGGTGATAATGAGTGTGAGGGGGGGGGGGGCAATGTGGATGTGGGGAAGTGGGGGTCGGGTGAATGTGAAACCTAGGGGAAAAGTTGTATATGGGTAATTGCGGTGGGGCTAATGGTGATCGTGTGAGAAAGAGCTAACAAGAGACTTCTGGGATTGTTTTCAGAAGTTCTGATCATATATATAGTAAAACTTCAACTGTTTTGACAACCTCAAATTTCAGTTAACAGATCTTGCTCATCTTAAAAAAGACAAAACTCATATCCGCGCACAAAGTACCTCCTCGAGCTCACTTTGCACTTGAAAAAAAAAACTTTAGCTCATTTTAGAGCAAAGGAGTTGTAAATCTAGCTCATCTTGGAGCAGTGATATATCCTACAATCTACAATCCGACAGACCAATTAACAACAAAACAATGAGATAAATTGAGCTCGTTTTAGAGCCAGAGAATTATATTACTAGCTCACTTTGGAGCAATCAGAAATTACAGACAGACAGAACAGCGAAAAAAGAAGTACAAAAAATGAGCTCATTTTAGAGACTTGGTGTTTGTGAACTGTCAAAAAAAATTATCCCACCCATATCCGAAGCAGTGTTATTGTTAAGATCACACCCTTGAGTACCAGGAAAGGGTGTATAAACAACCTCGATGAAGATGATGAAACTCTCTTTTTTCTAACTGAAGAAACAGTTTTTTTTCTAGATTAATTAGCAATTTTTGAAGCTAGAAAAGGTAATTTGCTTTTTACTTCATGCTGCTTTCAGTTTTCAGGTCTTGAGGCTTTGTGGTTACAACGATGGGATCAGGACATACAATTGTAGGTTCGAAATCCTGTAAACCAGGAAGTCTTATTTCTGGCTTGAAAATGCCTAGATATAGTAAGTTTCTCTCATCGATTACTTGCTCACCCCTGCTGACCTCTAAATTCATGAATTTACCGACTCGTTAGCAATCTTCAAACCAGTGACAAAATCTCCACAACTTGAAAGCATCAATTTCAGCGACACAGGAGGAGCCAGCGTGTGAACAGAAAGGTAGTTCTTGAGAAGTGTTCAAGTTTCGAGGCTGCAGTTTCTTAGTCCGTTTGATTCTGCGCGAGTCAAATTTCAAAATTTGTTTCAACAAAGAAATGATTGAAGAGAAAAAGGCTATCACGAGCTCAAAAACATCTACGCTAGGAACGCAAGTGATGTTGAGGGCAATTTTTTTCAAAATTTCGAAAATATGCAATTTAGAAGAAAAAAAATTCGTGGAACAGAAAAAAATCGACGTATGAAATGGAAAGACCATGCTGCCCACGTCAAATCAACTTGAACGGTTTTTCAAAATATGTTCGATAGTATGCGAGGAGCATCTGCAATGAGCCCTTCATTTATTTTTGAAAACGCAACTTTTTTTGTAAAAGATCAACGAATTACAAACTAGTTGTTTGTGTCTGAGTTTTCAGTTAAATTGCCTTAACTGCAATAATTGATTGTTTTTTTTTCTATCGAAAATCTCAGTTATTGATTATTTTTTGATAATGGTTTTTTGTCTCTGCAATTCGTTTTCGACCATCGGGAATTCTCTTTCCACATTTCTCAAGGGAAATACATGGGCCTAAAAAATCACCCGCATCCAAGTTTAGGCGTATATAATCGATTATAACTGATTATTATGATGATTTTTTGACAATTATAATTGATTAAAATTACCAAAATTAGGTGTTTAAAGGATTTTTAATTGATTATAATCGTCATATTTTCCAAGAGATTATATTCTCTTATAATCGATTATAATTGATTATAGTTCTTACAAAAAACCCTTAAAATCAATTAAAATCGATTATAATCAATTACAATCTCTTATTTTGCCAAAATTTTGTCAATTCAAAAGTATATTTGAATTATATCTTATGGGTTATTATTTTTATGTCAATAAAAAAATCTCTAAAAGAGAGATCTCTTGGACACTTTGGTTCATCTGAACACAAAGATTTACCACGAAACAAAATTTTCCTAGAGATCCTTTCATATTCGTGGAAAGGTCCCGCGGTAGATGGAAAATAAATCTACCGAATCAATCATGAAACTAAATCAACCGATGTTTTGGTGGTTAAAAAAGCCTAAAGTATGCATCACAAAACAACTTCAATGGAGAAGAAATGAAAAAAAAAACCTTAAAAATTTGAATTGATTGGAAAACTTTAAAAACATTTTTCTCATTTTTCATAGGAACCAACGTCTACAAAAAGCATAAACTATAAGCAATTTAGATGCAACTTCGAAGACAAAATGGACAAAGAAAAGGGATTATAATCAATTATAATCGATTATAAAGGATTTTTGTGCAAAACTAATGAGTAAGAAATTTGAATAAAAATAATGGATTATAATCAATTATAATTGATTATAATTGTATCAATAAATAGACGAATAAACAATCGATTATAAACGATTATAAAGGATTGTAATTTGATTTTAAAAAGAGAGATTATAATCGATTATTTATTGACTAAAATCGATTGTTTCTCAATTTTAAAAAGACTGGTACTAAAATCGTAATATAATCGATTATTCACGCTTGAAACTGGATGCGGGCAGGAAGTCAAAATAATATGAAAATTAGCTTACTGCTTCCTGGATGTTCAGCTGTTGAAAATCATTTTGTGCGGTAAAATGTTCAATGTCGCTATCCACATACCAGTATACTTCTGGGTAAATGATATCAATTAAATAAGAACAAAAAAAGATTCGTAAGCAACGCAATTAGTAATCAGAAAAACTATAGTCAGATGTATCATGTATACATAAAAGTTTTATAGATTTTTGCGTATCAGTTGTATAAAAACAGTTTTCAATCGATTCTTAATTTACTCCGTTTGACCTTTCGGTTTTGTACAATCATCTGCAAATAAAGAGAGGTTAACCATTGCCATATACCTACGTCGTAAGTTATTTTTTCAAACAAAACTTCGTCGATATTATTGTAAACTTAAGCTTAATCTAATCAGTAGCATATTGTGGTGCGCACACTTCATTAAATTGCATATCAGAGCAAAAAATTTTGTTATAAAAGTTTAATTTAGCTTACGTTACACAATTCAAAACAAACATGAAAACACATAACAAGCCGTTGCTTTTATTTTCTGCTTTAGAAATCACAAAGAAATATATGAGAAGTTTAGTATACTCACTTCTAAACGATGCTCTCTAGCGCATGAAGCTTTTGGACTTCAATCACTGATTTGGTCTCTGACTGAAGAACCCTCAGGTGTTTGGTCATTTTGGTGCTTACGGTCGATTAGTAGACCGGTCTGAGAGCAGAACTGCAGTATTTGTCATATTAACATCTGATAAATGAAGCTTCGATAAGATTTATCTTAACGCGTCTCCCCCTCAGGGATTCGATTCCCTTTCGACCCAAAGGGTCCCCCTTTGGTACTTTTTAAGATATCCATTTTTGGCCGACCGACCCTAAAACTTTTCTTAGGGTGCCTTGGGCGCCAATATATACTAACTTTGAGGGGGAGCGCGCGACAGAAAAAAAACGCAATTTTCCGCATTTTTTTTCCGTCGCGCGCAAAAAAAACGCAGAAAAAAAACGAAAATTTTCCAAAAAGTGCCCAAAAAACTGTTTTTCAAAATTGCGTCTTTTTACTGCTTTAGGAGAGCTTATCAATTTGGTCGACCTAAAAAAAAGGGTCCGCCCCCCCCCCCCCCCCCCTCGAGAAAAATCCGCCCCCCCCCCTCGAGAAAATCCTAGATCTGCCCCTCCAAACTAGCGTTTGCATGTATTGTTTCAGGAGAATCAGTTTGTTGATCTGATTTAGTTTTTTTGGCTGAATTTTTGGCAAAAACCTAGAAACAAGCCAGCTTATCAGGAACAAAACTTTGAGGTTAGAGACGTTTGAAAAGTTCTGTTTTATGAATCGTCTGCTATTACGTTGATTTGTGCATTTGTCTGTAGCCACTTGGTCCGAGATTTTTGCACATTAGAACACGAGTAAAAAATATTTCGAATATTTAACCAGCGGCCATTAATTGAATGGAAATTAATCACAAATTTATGACTTGATTTGAGATATCACATTACAAAACAGTTTTTTTTAAAGTCAGCGTAAGTATAATGCGCCGCAAAGATTAATTGTACCGTTGGTATTTAAAACTGAATGTATGCGTGAAAATTTGCCAAAAATATGCAAAGATTGTTTTGTCCAAAGAAGGAGTCTTCCCTCAGAAATTAAACATTCCTGAATCAATAAAAACCAAACTGATTATGAAAAACGTACAGACCGAGAAATTTTCCCGGAACAGTCTATGAAAATAAGTCTTAATTGAAATTTCGGAACAACTCAAACTATTGCAAATCAGATTAGGAGGAAGCAGGGGCGGATCTAGGATTTTCTCAAGGGGGGGGGGGGATTTTCAAAAAATGAGCAGAAGTTTTGTCGACGTTTTTTTTAGATAGACCAAATTGATTTTCCGAGTTCTCCCAGAGCACCAAATAGACCCTGTTTTGGCCAATTTTTCTGCGCTGCAGACAAAACTTTGAAAAAACGGGCCCAAAAAACAGGGGTTGAATTCCTGGAGAGAGGGGTACATTAGAAAAAGTTATCCAATTGTAGCTGAAAAATCAGAAACTTTTTTTACATGATATACGTTTTTTCGCGAGAATGAAAGAACAATCGGAAATTCGTCTATATCATTTCTGAAACGGCCTTTCATGACAATTGATGAACAATGATGAAATTCGGAAATTCATCCAGAACGTATTCGTTTATGATAATACGTTCTAAGTTAATACGACACATTTTACATTTTTTGAAGCTTCGCGGCGATCAACGACTCTAACTTTCGTAAAAAGTCCTATCCTTTGTTGGCGAGCGCAACACGTTGGTGCGACTGCAGCGGCCACTATTAAAATATTTTAAGAAGAATATCTAATATTTGTTATAAAGTTAATCATTATTCTTCCTCCTGCCGACCCAAAGGGTCCCCCTTTGTACTATTTTTAAATATCCATTTTTGGCTAACTGACCCTAAGATGCTCTTTTTGGCCTCTTTTTTTTCAAAACGCTGAAATTTTGGGCCAAAACAGGCTCTTTTTAGTGCTTTGGGGGATCTCGGAAAAATATTTGGGGACCGAAAAAAAAGGTCGGCAAAATTTTTGACATTTTTTTGAAAATCCACCCCACCCTCAAGAAAATCCTAGATCCGCCCCTGATTCTGCTCTTGATTTCATATTGGCGATGGCCGAATCGTTCTTTATACTTTTGACTGGATTGTTTTCGGCCAATTTTCTGGACGCAGCATGCAGAGGTAGGTAGTCAACAAGTTACCTTGAAAACTTAGATACTTGATTGAAGCTGCTGAATATTCTATTGCAATCTAGTCTGTCGTTTGTTCATGAAACTCGATTTTGCGAGGAAAAAATTGTCCTCAATCTGCGTGTTCAGAAGTAACCTTAGTCTTCTACCGGCATGTTCATAACTGGTTTCTTAACTAGTTTCATAACTGGTTTCTCACTTTCACATTAAGAGACTTCTTGATCAAATTGCCATGATACAACTTTTTTAGCGTTGCTTTAACACTCTACGAACCGCTATATTATGTTTCTTTCTCGTTAAAAAATACCGTTTCGGAAAAACTTTGAGCATTACTAGTAAAATTATTCAAAAGCATATCCTGGAATTTTTTTTATTTTTTCTTATGTCGATGTGATTGTTAACCCTGTCGATGTGATTGTTTCTTATGTCGATGTGATTGATTAAGTAAAGCCTTGATTTTACGGATTTCACTTTAACTGGTCTCGAATAATTTTCAAATGCTCAAAAGGGTTCAAGTGGTCAAAGTAGTCAAAGTGGTCGTCCGAAATTTATTCCCCCGTAACTTAAGATTAAAATGTTGCAGTCGACAATTTGTATAGGTTTGAGCTTTGGTCATTAATTGTCTTCAGGTGATATAGAAAATTTTGCCAGGAAGGTTAGTTAAAAAGCAAGATGTGGCAAAATAACAAACCCGACTAAAAACATTCAAAAGTCGGAACAACCAGGCTGCTAGTAAATCAGGGCTAAGCCGTGGTTTTTCCGACTTCCCTTAACTTGGTCTCAAATCGTTTTTAGTAAAGAAAAAATAAGTAAGCTACAATCTTTGGACTGAAAATATTAAGACTTAAGTGGTACTATACAGGTAACTCAAAAGAACAGCTAGCTTGATTTCATTCGATTTGCGATCATTTGAGTGCGGCGGAATATAAGTATTTCAATTCAGATTCATCATGATTAATGAAATCTTCAAAGCGCATTAACTAGTCAAAAACATGGCTAAACTGGCATTTTTCAGATCTCCAGATTTGTAGAAACACTTATAGCAGCTGAAATTTACTTTATTTGAACTCGATATCTTCATTTTGGTATCTTCACAATTCATTTTGAAAAATAAAAAACATCAAGTTGATCGTCAAAATTGGCTTGAACAAAGAACAAATTCAATCAAAAAAACTTTCATTTATTTTGAAAGTAAAACTATGAATTTTAACTTCACAGAAAATGGATTTAAATTGAATATAAAAGCATAACGACTGGTTTTTGATATTCTTGGTTAGTCTCAGAGTTTTTTACTATATAGTTTCTTCAAGGCTCTTAAATATTCAGTGCATTTGCGAGAAATAATTTTTTAAAGGCAATTGGGAAAATATACTTGGCGGAAAACTGATATCATACGAAATGGATTCACTGTCTTGCAAAAAACGATTGAATTGAATGTTATCTATGAAAAAGGATTTTTTTTTGCAAAACAACTGATACAATTATTATTTATTTTCAGTCAATTTTTATCAATATTTTATGGTTTTTATGGACATTGATTTTGGAAATTGGTTTAAAGAACTTTTAACGCAAGCATATTGCAAGCAAATCGTTGTTATTGGGTAAACCTTTGCTTTTTTCTACATCCCCTTTTTTGATGCTTTAAAATGTAATGAATCATAGCAGCATGAAAGAATGAACAATTTATTTCATTTTTCATTGAATAACCAAATGAGAAACTTTCAGAAAACTTTATTTTGTAATTTTACGAGGGTTGGAAAACGGGAAAAGAGCAACGTCTGTTGGCGTTTTTTTATTTTTTTTTGTTATCTGAGAGTCTACTTTTCAATTCTTATTTCTTAATTCTTGTTCATATTGTGGGTTTATCAAGAAAATTGATATGTGGGGGTTTGCAAATAGGTTTTGCATTGAATTAAAGCAAACTCAAAAACTAAACTATTAGGCTGTAAAAATTATTATTATTATTATTATGAGGATATAACCAATGATTTAAAAGTCGCAATTGGTCGAAAAGACACAATTGGTTTTTAGTTACCAGCCTGTTCGGCTACAATGGCAAAAACTTGTCCTATTAAATAGCCCTAGGAAAACAAGCTTCATGAAACCAAGAAAAAGAAAAAAGAAAATAGCACAACAATTGAAACAAAAAGGGTGAGGGTGATTGAGTCATTCAGCTCCTATTGTGTGGAAAATTTAATAGGAAAATTTTTTCGTCTTCTCATTGTGATTTTCTTCACAAAGATTATCAATTACCCAAACCGGTTTTTTCCCACTCCCCCCTCCCCCCAAAAAAAATCAAATTTTTCATTCTTAAAATTATTTTACTAACGTATTCTTTCAGCTAAATGCGTGATGTTACGATTCAGATTATGAAGAACAAATCTGTTCACAGTATTAATTTATTTCATCAAGCAAAATTGTGTTGCATTATGACAACGTTGAAATGAATATTCAATATTGATTTTCAAATCTAGGGAAAAACAGGAAAAGATCCCACAAATCTACACACATTGAACTTTTTTCTATGCTGCCACCAAGACTTGATTTTCTTCCCATAGTGAACAAACAATGAACATTACAGTACCCGCACCGAGCACCCATGGATCATAATCGATTATATTGTCATGATAAGAGCAGCATCTATAGAACGACATAAGAATCG